CAGACAGACAGACAGACAGACAGACAGACAGACAGACAGACAGACAGACAGACAGACACATAGATAGATATAGAGATGATATAGAATAGATGGTAGATAATTGAGAGAGTGGGGGGGGAGAGACAGACAGACAGACATAGAGGTAGTCCTCAACTTACAACCACAATTGAGCCCAAAATTTCTGTTGCTAAGTGACAGAGTTAAATGAATTTTGCCCCATTTTACAAACTTTCTTGCCACAGTTGTTAAGTGAATCACTGCAGTTGTTAAGTTAGTAAAATAGATGTTAAGTGAATCTGGCTTCCCCACTGATTCTGCTTGGAAGGTCACAAAAGGTGATCATATGAGCATAGGGATGCTGCAATGGTCATAAATGTGAAAAATGGCCATAAGTCATTTTTTCCCAGTGCTGTTGTAACTTTCAACAGTCCCTAGATGAATGGCTTTAAGTGAAATGCCACCTATAAATAAAAATAAAATTCAATCCTGGTCTCCTATCCCGCTCACATACACACACACCATGGGTGTTAGAAATCTTGGAGACTTCCAAGTCCCAAATAGTCTTCCCAGAAATTCCTCACACCCACACCAGCCCATCCCAAGGATTCAGTAGGCTATTCAAGGAAAACCCCATGCCAGTCAATAGGGCAAAAGCAAATCCACAAGGCAAAGGCAGTCCAGAGTTCAAGAGGCATGAGCCAAAATTCAAAGTACAGAATCAAAATCTGGTCGAGGCAAGAATGACTGTGGCTGAAGAACACACAGCAAGGAAACAGACATGTTGTTTCCAGCGTCACTTCACTCCAAGCGCCGAGGTAAATAGCCGCTCCTCGGTGTAGTCCATCAAGAGAAGCAAGGATGCCGACTCACAAATAGCCTGGCTGAACTTTGTTGTGCCTGCCTCCTCTTGACCCTTCTCAGACTGGGAAGGGTAGGCAAATTTTCCTCCTCTCCCGAAGGCTCTGGGCTTCCCAGATGTAGCTGGACCTCTCCTGTTCATTGCTCAACTGGCCACTTGTCCCATCGCTCCTCCTGCGACTGTTCTGCTGTGCTTGGTCTCGCAACACCTGGCAGCCTCCGGCAACCTCCAGATGTTCCTCCATACCCGCTCCTGATGTCCCTGGACCTGGCTCTTCTTCATTTGAACTAGCATCTGGAGAAGATACACACACATATATATATATTAACCTTGATCAAATAAGTCAACTGTATAAATCTTTTTATTTTTAAAAAAAGTATTGATGCTTATTCCTTTTAAGTAGTGTCTCAGAAACTGATTTCTTTTCATCCTCTTTACCATTCCTCAAGAATATCCTTACAGATATAATACATCTCTTTTGTAAGTCCAATGTAAGAAGGCTGTCCAAGTCACCCTTTTCAAAAAAAATTCCTGATAATTGATAGCTTGTACCTCCCAAAACTGCTGAAAAGATGGTGGTTCTACCCTACTTCCCGTATCAGTAGGGTACCAGTTTACCAGTTCTAAGAGAAATCTTAACTTTATTTGGCTCTTTTTCATAAGATTGTATCTTTAGTCATTCAAGCCTTCCCCGAGCTTTTTCAGCCTGCAATTTTCAAAAAAGCAAGAGAAGCAGTATTTCTCTCCACAGTATTAACAGTACGGCAACTAAGCTGTGCAGCTTTTGAAAATAAGAATTTTTGAACCTCACACGAGGACTTCCCTGTTACTCATTAAAGCAGCCTGGTTCCCACCCCCCTCCTCCGGCTTCTAGATGGGACTGAAAATAATGTCACTTCTTAAAGATATATTTGAACAAGTACTAATCAGTGCCAATTCCAGGGTTAACTGGACCTCAGGATCTTATTTGAAGTTCTCTAGTTGCCCCTAACCTACGGTATTCTTTTTTCTGGCCCCACTGGCAGGATATAACATCTGGCCAAGCAGTTTATTTGCCTGAAAAGAATTGGCTTTTCTGCATTTCTTTACTGCCATCTAGTGATATTTTTTTTCCTGCAGACCAGATCCGATAGCCCTAAATAATAATCATGCTTTCCATCTTTGTACCTGGAAAACTCCCAGTTGTGGACCTCTATGTCTGGTAATATAGAAGGAAGTTATTTTATTTAGTGCATCTTAGGGCTGAAATTTATGATTTTTTTTTACTTGTTAGAAACAAATGGAGGGTGGGAAGAGCAATAAATTTTATTTCTGTAATCAACCATATGGTTAAACTGCTTAGATGCCATATTGGTCACTTGTAAATAGCCACATTTCTGTAGTCACCCAGGAATTTTGTAATATTTAAATTGGATGTATCTAAAAGTTGGCAATAGATTGTGTTTAACTTTTTTGCTTTGTGTTCTTTTTATTGTTTGCCTAAAATAAATAAAAGTAGACAAAAATTATTTTAGTGCTAAAAGTCAGATATGAGAATGTTTCAATGTAATCATTGGATGAAAATTAATGTCATGCATACAATACAAATGTTAGGCAATAAAAATACAGATGAAATCCATGTTAAAATGCATTTAAATTAACTGCCATCATATCACTTAACATTTTAATGAAAACTTAATTCTGCTGGTTAAACAGATTCTAGACCTGAGATATAATAGGACAGAAAATGTCCAAGTCAGACCCCTTTCCCCAATTTCTGTTGAATTTCATCACCCGTCATGAGATCTAAAGACCCCTCTCCCACAATGATTCATTTTGGGTAAGATTCATAATTTTCAATATTGCTGCAGAAGGGCAAAGGGGTGAACTTTTTAGCTTCCAATGTGTCCTTCTTTGATTAACTTCAGGACAGGCTCCAAAATCAATCATCAAATAATTCTGTAATGAGGGGCTTTAGAGGGCAGATGGAGAGCAATCAGGGGGTCTCTTTCAGGATTCATGATCATGATAGGCTGCAGCAGGAAAGAAACTTCCTAAGGGGAGTAAAATCTAAGCTACCAGGTTTCTGCTGATCAACACCAGCATCCAGAGTGGGGAGGGAATGGAGATTTTGCAGTATCCTTCCCCTGCCACACCCACCAAGCCACACTCAGAGAACCAAAAAAAATTGAATTTCACCACTGCTGGAATGTCACAGCAACTTTCTACAGAATCTTCAGAAAAGGGCTCCTAACAACTCTTCTCTCTTTAAAGGAAAACAATATATCCAAGTAGAGTAAAACCTACTAAGATTTAATTCCACTTTAATGCCATAAGGCAAAAGTATCTCAACGTCCAATTCTGTGGAATTTGGTAGCATTGCTATAACGCTGCAAATAAAACTAACATAACTGTTGTGGTATTTTAAAGATTAACAAGATTGTTTTTGATTCTGCAATGGGCCACAGGCAATTGCAGGTAGATTCCTTCTACCTTTAGCAGTCCAAAGACAATATTTGGCTATTCTTTGTTTTGGCAAAAATATTTTCTTCATGACAGAAGCAGCAATTGAAAAATAAGGGAAATCAAAGCAAAAGATATCCCCATCCAGACATCCCATAAAACAAATGGGTTGAATGCCATGATGTCATGTCCTCCAATAAATTTTTGCCTAACTCTCTGCCAGAGTCTCTCATTAGAATGCATGCCTATTTTATCTGAGGCTAAAAATATTTCCTGAAAGCTACGTAAAAGAACTATTTCTGCTTTATTGTAAGGCTACATTAACAGAATATTGCAAATCTCCAGGTACAAAAGTACAAACTTTCTGCCACTTTTACCTGCTTGACCCTTTAGAGCAGGTCTTTCCCAAGTTTCTTTATCTGACAGTTAAGCCACTGGGAGTTTCTGCCTCTCTTGTGTAATTGTTTTCTAGGTAATTATTTTGTGTTGTAATTGTTTCTCTTCCCCTCATTTTCCAAGTCATCTACACACATTTCATTACATACAAATGCAATTTGCCTAATGTAAATAGACACCATGAATGAGAAAATAAGGCTTTGTAGCTCTTATTCTTAGCATCAGCCCTGGACAAATAATCAGGCTTCCCTTTACTATGTATTAGAAACAACTGCATTGATGCTTACTAAATATTGCTTGTGCTGCCTTACAGGTAGTCCTCAACTTATGATCCATTGTTTAGTGATGGTTGAAAGTTATACAGACCTCTCCTGGTGTACTAATGAACTGGTTCCAAAGTTCAAACATCTGCAACAGAGTCACAATACTGCACATTGGGTGTTCAGCAACTGATCCATTGACACGACCTCATTTTATGATGTTTTTGCCAAAAACTGGCAAAAATTTACAAGCAAACAATTGATTCACTTAACAACTGCTTCGCTTAACAAACACTGACAAAAATGTCATTAAATGGGTAACTCACTTTAAGACTACCACAACTTGCAACTTGCACTATTACAATCATAAGGAGAACATAAACAGAACCTCCCGTATATCCTTGTTTATCTGAAGGACTGAGAATTCATATGCTAAAATGTTCTAATGTTTCTTGATGATAGTTTCTGATCAATCCCATTTTTTTATTATTAGAAGTTTGTCCTAGGGATATACGATCCAATAAAAACTTATCTAGCAAACAGATGAAAGAACATGCATTGTAGGAACACAACCCTTTACAACAGGGATGGGGAACTATGGCCATTTTATGACCTAAGGACTTCAACTCCCAGAATTCCTGAGCCAACATAGCTCAGAAATTCTGGGAGTTGAAGTCCACAGGTCATAAAGGGGCCATAGTTCCTCACCTCTGCTATACATGAACAACCCTAATTTAGCTGCATTTAATAATGTTCCCTTTTTGTCACACAAAATAACAATTCACCAGAAACTTTCAGAGGGCGATTTGGATTGCATACATAGATTCAGAAGGGCATATAAGAGTGTGGAGTTTCTAGTTTTGTCCCAAGGGTACCTGGTACGCCTTTGCTTTGATCCAACAGGCACAAAATATAACTAACATCAAAAACAGTGAGGAAAAGATTGTTCTATCCATTTATGTCATATCAAAAGGTCAACCCCCTCAAAAAATAAATGAAAGTTAAAAAAATTACATGATAAAAACAAAATATATACATGATAAAAAATAATTAAATATTCAGCAATGCATCTTGATGCTCCTTACACAGATTAAACATCTAATCACATAATTCTACTGTTAATAATATGCAAATAAAGGAGGAGGATAAAGGAAATAAATTCTACTTATTTTATTATGCAAAAATAATTAACGAATACAAACAATAGATACACAGCACAGAATTAACAATATACTGTAAATCACTGAAGGTGTACACCGTAAATGAACTCAAATTTAGGAGGAAAAATAAAAAGGAAGAACAAAGGAAGAGGAGCAGAAGGGACACAAAATGCAGCTGGGAAAGAAAATTCAATTCATAATCTTCCCCTGTAGCCAAGGATATACGGATAGAACAAGCAAATGCCTAATCAAGAGCTAGAGATAAAAAGTTTAACAGCCTGAATACAAGTAAGCCTAATAGCAGAACATGATTTTTAAAAAATCCTTCTGCAAAAGGATGTCAGCAAAAACATGAAGAGGTAAAATAGTTTATAGCATGCTCAACATTATGAAATGATTTCTGAGTGTTGATGATGATTAAAAACAAAACAAAGACAGCTGGAAGGACACCTCATGAATACTGTACTTTTTTTCTTTCAAGCAATCTTCCTCATCAGATTGAACATCCTTGTGCGCTGTTGAATTTTTATAGTGCAATCTGAGGGGAAGCGTAATAGAAGACTTTTTGTCAACCCATATAATTTCATGCAGTTAGAAGGAGCTAATTAGTTCATTCACTTGCTTAATGCGAGATCTAATAGAGGTAGGTATAGGGGTGTCAAGCCTGCGATGACATGTTGTCACGTGACATGTTGTCATGTGTCACAACTTTTTCCCCCTTCGATAAAAGGGGTGGGGGTGATGCACCTGGCCCACGGGCTGCACGTTTGACACCCCTATGCTAGAGCATCTCTGATACATGACCATGTAGCCTCTGTGTTTACCTGGCCAATAACAATAGTAATAGTTATGTTAGACTTACAGTATTTTTCGGAGTATAAGACGCACTGGAGTATAAGACACACCAAGGTTTTGAAGAGGCAAATTAAAAAAAGTAGGTAGGTAGGTAGAGGGATAGACAGGGAGAGAAAGAGATAGAAATTCAGTAGGTAGGTAGGGAGAGAGAGAGTAGTTAGGTAGGCAGGTAGGAAGGTAGATAAAAGGATAGAGGGAGAGGGAGAAAATAGAGATAGAGAAATATAGTAGGTAGGTAGGTGTTTCTGCTGGCACAACACTTAATCAATGTAATTCTCTGCAAACCTCTCCAAAACAGTCCGTTTTTCACGAAAATAGGCCCATTTTTTTTTAAAGGCATGAATAGCCTTGGGGGGGGGCTGGCAGAGTGCTCCTGGGGTGTCAAAAATGAGCAAAAAACGCCTCATTTTTTGCAAAAACGGGCCCGTTTTTTGTCAAAAGAATTGCATGCATAGCCTTAAGGAGACTTATAGTGTGCTGCTGGGGGCTGGGGAGGCAAAAAATCACCCCGTGTTTTGCTCATTTCTGACCTCCCCACTCCCCAGGAGATCTTTAAAAGCCTCCATAAGGGTATGCACGGCCATTTTGGTGAAGGGCAGGGTTTCAGGAGGCAAAAAATGCTGTATTCGGTATATAAGACGCACCCAGATTTTCAGCCTTTTTGAGGAAAAAAGGTGCATCTTATACTCTGAAATACGGTATATATTGCTTTATAGTGCTTCATAGCTCTCTCTAAATGGTTTACAGAGTCAGTCTATTGCCCCAAATAATCTGGGTCCTCATTTTACCAACCTCAGAAGGATGGAAAGCTGAGCCAACCTTGAGCCCATCAGAATTGAATTCCTAGCAGTGAGCATTGAGCTAGCCTGAGATACTGCATTCTACCAAATATATTTGTGTACATATATTACGATTTATGTTTACTAGGATATGATTAAAAGTCACCGCAATAATTTCTGGTAACATTTTTACAGGTAAAGTTATCAGAGATCACAAATGGCTAAACAGATTTTGTTAATCAATCTTAATTGGCTTTCCGAATAAATTGCTTGCAAACAGATGGAACAGATTAGGTTTACAGAGTATCAGACTATTAACACAAAATCCTGGATTTGTAGAGTACTGTTATCACTGATTCAGTTGATGTGGCACAGAACTCCAAAGCTTCTGCATTTTATACATATGGCGAACTCCAGTCTAGGAAAGTAAAACTCTCTTTTTTAATTAACTAGCTTATTTGTGAATGCTGCTATTATATTTATGCCCCTTCAACAACCTAATATATACATATAAAGGCTATGATTCAATTGCAAAAAAAGAGCTTTAAAAGGCACAGGACAGCAAATGTAGCACCTGGTTGCAATTCTTTAAAGCAGCCCTGTCGCTCACAGAGTATCCACTGAATCCTGAGAAAAGACATGAAGGTTTCAAAGAGGTATAGAAAGTTGTTATGTTCACAGACCTGCTTATGATTGAAACTAAATCAAAAGGGCTGCACAATTCTAATACATATATTCAGGAGTTTGACTTATAAAATATAGGAGATGGGCATTCAATCCAGGAATGAACTAAAGAATAAAGGAGGAAGACTCGGGAAAAGTATTTTTGTATCTGGTGCTGTCACTTAGATATTGAATTAATTCACAAAGGCCTTTCAAAATACCATCTGGATTTGTTACCCAGCAAAACATCCAGTGAATAGCCAGTAAAATGTAGAAAGGTAACAAGTAACCATGAGTTTGGCAACATATTCTAGTACATACTTGATTGCTTATGTGTGTATACATGCATGTGTGTAAGAGGCATAAAAAATAAATGAAAAAGTGAGACAAAGAAGAAGAAAGATCTCTAAAGCAGCAACTTTCAATCTTCTTTGCAGCAGGTAATAGTACATATACAACAGAATAATAGAATTGGAAGGGACCTTGGGAGTCTTCTAATCCAACCCCCTGCTCAAGCAAGATACCCTATATCATTTCAGACATGTAGCTGTTCAAAATCTTCTTAAAAACCTCCAGTGATTGATTATCCACAACTTCTGAAGGGAAGCCATTACTGGCATGATTATTCACCTTTTCCAGCCTCTGAAATTAAATATTTTGGATCCCGTCTTCCTGTAAACAATGCTTTTAAATCAGTAAATCCCCCTAACCACAATTTTTTCTCCATTTGCAGCAAAAAGTCCATAAAGGGTTTCCATTCTTTTATTTAAAAAAATATTATTGTTTTTTCTTTAATTAGACAAGTCAATTTAGCTATTTCAGTCAGTTCTACTCCCTTCACATTCCACTCCACCATTGTGGGTATCTCTTCTAATAAATTTACAGGAACCTACAGTAGAACAATTTTTTAAAAAATATCACTGTTTAAAAACTTTTATAGTCCAAACTTTTAATGTACTTTTTGCTGCAAGTTAATTCCTAGGAAAAAAAAAGTTCTTTTCCTGTTAAACACAGAAGGTCCAGTTAAACTGCTATTCCAAATAATTCTCTAGTTTTTAAAGAGTTATCTGAAGCGCTTAAGAAAGTGGGACTTGATATCCATTAAAGGATCCATTGAGGCCACAAATCAGATCTTCCTTGGCTCCAGGCACTTCACTCAGGAGGTGCCAGCAGAATTCTTTTGGGCACTGAAAGCTTCCTCATAAGGAACTGCTATCCAGAGCACACATGGGCAATCTTTTTGGCTTTTCTTTGTCTGGAGAAATTGTGTACGAGAATTATGCTGGCAGGCATAATTCCATCCTCGGCATCCCTACCCTTTCAGAGAAGCATCAATCCACCATTTTTCTCACCTGGAAGTCTCTATATCTGATTGTATATGTATTGATGAAACAGTATAGTCCAATTATAAATCTCCAATATTGAGATTAATTCTCCAATATATTTTCTTGGATAAAAAATGGACAAGTAGTCCTTCACTTAATTATCATAACTGGGATGGGCAACTCTGCTGCTAACCAGCACAGTATTTAAGCAAGCCATCAGATGATTGTGACTTATAATTTCATTGTTGGCTTCTTCATTAACCTTGCTTGTTGGAAGCTGGCTATGAAGTGTACAATTGAAGGTCCCATAACCGCAGGACACTGTAACCGTTGCAAGTGTAGGGACTGGTCATAAAGTTATTTTTTCAACACCATCATAATTTTAAAGAATCATTAAACAGGGCAGCCATTAAGCAAGGACTACCTGTGGTAATCACGTGCTTGATATCAATAAATGTAGGAAAAGGACTGGCAGAAGGGGGAGGAGTTAAACTAGGCATCAGTTTGGAATAATTTTGTATCCACAAGCAAACTAAGTCCAAGCCACCCTTGTCTGCCATTAATACTTATCTAGTTTTGTCCAGGTACTAACTCTTAGTATCAGGAGATTCCTGTGTATAGGCTGTAGTAATAAATCAGTTCATTAGAGGCTTTACATGTAAATCTGGTTTTACACACTTGACAATAAATAAAGTCATTTCATCACACCTAAATATTTTCATACTTTGCTCCCCTCAAACAAAAGCCAAAATGAAAAAAATCATCCTCCTTTTAAATATGAACCCGGCAAAATGACTGTCAGTATATAATATGGATAATCTTGCCATGGCTAGTATGACTAAATTGCTTTGACTTTAACTGCATTTATTAACCAAAGACAAACCTCAGGGTGAATTTAAAATTGTGCAGAGGGTGTTGTGTCTAAGCTTGGTAAAGAGCAAAATGCTAAGGAGTGTCCGGCTCCACATCCAATTAAAAGCACCTCTGAAGAACTCAGAGATGCCACAGGCTGAGGAAGACAAACGTTTTCTTCTGTTTCGTTGCCACACATGCCATGCTCATTCCATCCCCAGGAAAAACACTGGCTACCTAAGTAAAAGGAAAAGAAAATAATCAGCATATTAAAGCAGCTAGTGAAAAATCGCAACATCCGAAATCCTAGTGAATCATACTTGGAAAAAGCTCACTAACCTTGCTGTCCTAAAAAAAAAAAGGAAGAAAAAGAAAAGTGTGGCCTTACCAACCACTTTATAATGCCTTGGTAAGTCCACACTTGGAATACTGCATTCAGTTTTGGTCACCACAATGTAGAAAAGATGTGGAGACTCTGGAAAGAGTGCAGAGAAGAGCAACAAAGATGATTAGGGGACTGGAGACTAAAACATGTGAAGAACGGTTGCAGGAACTGGGTATGTCTAGTTTAATGAAAAGAAGGACTAGGGGAGACATGATAGCAGTGTTCCAATATCTCAGGGGTTGACACAAAGAAGAGGGATTCTCCAAGGCACCTGGGGGTAGGACAAGAAGCAACGGGTGGAAACTAATCAAAGAGAGAAGCAACTTAGAACTGAGGAGAAATTTCCTGACAGTTAGAACAATTAATCAGTGGAACAGCTTGCCCCCAGAAGCTGTGAATGCCCCAACACTGGAAGTCTTTAAGAAGATGTTGGATAGCTATTTGTCTGGAGCGGTATAGGGTTTCCTGCCTAAGCAGGGGGTTGGAGTAGAAGACCTCCAAGTTCCCTTCCAAATCTGCTATTGTATTGTATTGGTATACGTATTGATAGAAAAGATATACAGATAGTCCTTGACTTACACCCATCCATTTAGTGGCCATTGGAGGTTACATCAGCACTGAAAAAAAGTGACTTCTGACCTTTTTTCACACTTATGACCACTGCAACATCCCCATGATCACATGATCAAAATTCAAATGCTTGGCAACTGGTTCATATTTATGACAGTTGTACTGTCTTGGGATCACGTGGTCACCTTTTGTGCCCTTTTGACCAGCAAAGTCAATGAGGAAGCCAGATTCATTTAACAACAACTGTCGTGATTCACTCAACATCTGTGGCTAGAAAGATCATAAAATGGGGCAAAACTCACTTAACCACTGTCTGGCTTAGCCACAAAAATTCTGGGCTCTGTGGTGATAAATCAAGGACTACCTATGCTAATTTAGAGGCCTTCACGGGGATTAAAAACTATGATGCAGGGACTGCAATTGAAATGATTATTACATTGTGGATCATTCGTAATAGTGCCGTTAAAAAGAGAATAATGTGTGTTGGGAACTTTTTAATTGCAATCCAATTTTGCTCATATAACATTTCCCAATTTTCCACGATATCTTCACTTTCCTTTGTCTGATCAAGAACCAAAATTGATTGTTAGTGGTATTTAGAGATAGAAATTCCATATGAAATTCTCAGACACTTAAAATAACTTGATGCCAAAGGGAACTCTTTGTCTGAAAAGAAGCAATTTGCTTGTGGGAGAATTATTTCAGCTACTCTAATGCTCTTTTTGGCACTTACCATCGAAGAAAAATACTTACAAATGAAATGATTCTTTTTTAAAAACTTTCATTAAAGTATCTACATGACATTTAATATTGAATAGATTTCTCTGGGGAAGAAAATTCAGCTAAACAATAAAAACCAAACAAATTTCTAATAGCATCTTGGGGAGTACTTCAACCACCAGGGAGGCAATATCTTTTCTAATTGCAAGATGCAGCTCTGTTTACAGCAACTGTCTTTGTGAAAAGGGAGATCTTTATAGCAGTATTTCTCAACCACATCAACTTCAAGATTTGTGGACTTTACTTCCCAGAATTCCCCAGGCAACACGTAGGCTAAAGAATTCTGGAAGTTGGAGTCCACACACATTAAAGTTGAGAAACTTTGTTTTGTAGGGTTTATGAGGACCTGGAGCTCCATTCTGAAAGAGCAGACTGCAATTTCCCAGTATTTTATTAAAGATGTGTTGAATTTTGACAGTGAAAATCTCAAGTCACATATGGCAAGGAAAAAAAATCGCTAATGAGGCTTAGGGACATACACTTTCGGCCAAGCACATTCATGGCCAGTCTTGCCAAAAACATCAATATATAAAACTTAAGGTAAAAAACAATATAAGACACTTGTGGAAAGAATCCCCTTGATTCCTACTTTATTTTCTAGAATTGTTAATGATTAGCCTTTTTTTTCCAAAGTCAGCAAGAAGAAATCAATATATGCTTATGATTTCAGACTCTAATAATAAATGCCCAGGGGAAAATTCCTTGTGCACAGTCACAACAAAAAGATATTGCTGACTAATTGCCCAAGTGTACAATATTGAGGAAGTCCCTGGTGAAATTCTCATGGATCAAACCCCAATCCATCCAGTCGGTTGAAGCATTTTTGCATCCACTTGGATTCAGATCTTTAAAGTTGAATGGGAGAAAACCAAAAGCATTGTTGTCATGAAGGACAGACCAGTGAAATTCCAGATCCAAAGATCTAGTGGACTATGTTGTCACACAAAGGAGGAAATGGCATAAAAAAACAAGCCGGCAATGGCAGCAGCGACTGGGGAACTGGTTCGGCCTGTTGTCCCTACCGGTTCGCCGACCCAATCCCAGTGGGCTGCTACCGAACTGGTAGCAACCCACCTCTGATCTGATGTGATCAGAGGAGATGTTAATACAAAAGATTAATGATGGTAGGCATCCAATCTTATATCTTTCAAGAAAGTATTTATCAATGGAAAGGATATTGTTAGCCCTAAAGGGTGGTCAGACTAAGAAACCAATCCCATTAGGTCTAAAGATATTTTCATTTGAAAAAACAGTCTTGACAGAAGACACTTCCTTCACTTTATCTTCATATAGCAATAGCAATTAGACTTCACAGTGCTTTACAGCCCTCTCTAAGTGGTTTATAGAATCAGCATATTGCCTCCCAACAATCTGGGTCCTCATTTTACCCACCTCGGAAGGATGGAAGGCTAAGTCAACCTTAAGCCTGGTGAGATTCGATCTGCCAAACTGTAGGCAGCCGGTGATCAGCAGAAGTAGCCTGCAGTACTGCACTCAAACCACTGCGCCACCGCGGCTCAATATGAATTCAGGACAGTCCTATCTGAGTCATTTTCTCAAATTACACAGAAACTTATGATCTGAAGTGGGTAATGGAAGCTTTACAGTTTACCTGTATGGTGTGAATTCAATACAATGACATACAACCAACTAATAGTTTGATTAGAAAAAAGTAAAACTTCCTAATAAAAGACTTGTACATTGTTATTTGATCTTTCAACCACTAAATGCAACAGGTGGGAAACCAGCACCAAGCTACTCCCCTTTTATGAAACTGACCCAGAGACAGTATCTGTACACTGTGTATCAATGACACCTGTGCAAGTCCCCATCCTTTTCATAAAAGAGGAGGGTCCCGTGTTACACCATAGCATCTTCACCTATTCTTACCCAAACAGAACAGTTTGTTTTCACTTTGCTGATACAGAGATTACAGTAGGAGCTGGTTTTGTCTCGCATGGGAAAGTTCTCATAGAAGGTGGGCTATACCAGTAAAAGATACCATGCTGACATTAAAGGTGGGATGAAACCCAACTAGAGAAGAGAAGAAAGCTGGAAATGGAAATAATGGCTGGTGGCTCAAATGACTGAAATGGTTGGGTAGCTAGTTTTAGTAAAACCCAATACAGTGTGGTAAATCTGGACTGGACTAGTTCTTAGGCAGCTAAAAAGAATGCTGAAAAAAATTGTTTGGACATGATCTGAAGAAGCATGCTGCAGAGGGAGAGATGCTGTACAGAAGGTTTCTGGTGGTGTTGAAGACGACAGAAGAGAAGTTGATCAAGGGTTTACCTACCATGGAGAAAAGAAGATAACAAATTGCTAATCTGATTGGTGGAGGATGCTACAATATAACTTTAAGCCCTTTCCAAACTCTACTTTGAAATACCTTAGTATTTAATAATATATATAGAAGGATGTATATGTGCAAGGTACATACATACCTTAAGTTCATAATATAACCTCCTATATGATTTGTGTTTAAAATGGCTCTGAGCTAGAAGTTAGAGTTCAGAGGGGGAAATGCTCATTTAATACAACTGCAACAGATTCTGTCAGTTGGGAGGATAGAATTGTTCACAAAGAATGCAAAACAATTAGTGAAACTATGTGACTGTTCTAATAAAGTTACGCTAAAATTACTTTCTACCATGTTTTAAGTGAATAACAAAAGGGAAAAACATTGGAAAACTATGCCTCTTTCAACCTGATCCCTTCAACCCATGTGAAGATTCCATGGCACATTGCCTGTAGAAAGAGCACTCACATAAATGAAGGCCAGTTTTAATTAAACCACTTTGTCCCATGTTATTAAATGTTTTGTCAAATTTTCTGTCCAGATAAGTTATGTAATTGTAATTGATGAATGCTGTTAGTTGATGAAACTGATCAGTTAATTGATTTATTATTTTATTTTATATGTTATTAGACTACTAGCTGGGTATTTATTTATAGAGGGAAAATGTCCGGACCAAACATAATTTCCAATGTTGGATTCTCCCCCTTACCAGAGGGAGCCCCTTGTGAAGTACTGTGAAGCCATTACCAAGGCAACTCCACTGCGCTGTACAGTAGAAGCCATTTTACAGCAGTATAGTAGAATCCATTTTAAGGTACAACAGGCTGTATCTTAACATAACATACACTCCAAGGTGTATCTTACCCCCACAGTATTTTTTCCATAGAGTAAGTCATCTGTGTACCAGGTTTGGTTGAAATTGCTATGCTGGAACACCCACACACACACCTATATTTCATATATAGAGATTTATTTGTTAGACTAAAATACCACTTCCTTACACTTTATCCTTGGCCCTCAACAATTAACTTCAATGCATTCAAGAAATAGGATCTTCATTCCTTCATTCCTTAGGAACACCTGTTTTCTTCCTTTGAGACAACCATGACCTGGATGACTGAGAATCTCCATAGAGATTCTGGAAATGGACATTTGAGTGAGCTACAGTTAGTCCTCAACTTATGGGCAGAATTGGGACCAGAA